ACTTAAAGTGAGACAGCTGGGATAAGGAGAAGAGAACAGGACATTGGGGAAAGAGCAATGGAAGACCAAGAAAGAAGAAAGGCTGAGGAGATGAAGATGCAGGTTGTGAGAAGGAGTTTGTGTAATCCTTGATTTACACCCAGGCCATGCAGGGGCCAGGGAGTGAACTTGTTAAATCATGATCCTTTCCCAGAAAGGCTGCCTGGCCTTGAATTCCACCCAGCTCTACCACATAAGTTGTTCCTTAACCTTTTTTGTGTCTCAATGTCCACATCTATAAAAGGGGGGACAATAATAGATCTACCTTATAAAGGTGTTGTATAAACCAAGTGAATTAATATGCATAATACACACATACTTATGTACAGTACTCAGTACTGATACAGAGTAAGCACTGTGTGTTGCTTAATTCCTCTTCTGATATCACACTTTCTCCAGTTATGTCAAGACTTAAAATTTAGAGTCAGATATAACTGCATAGACTACACAAACTTGTTTGCTTAATTTATTATTGCATTCCTAGTGTTGAAAATGCACATTAAAATGGAAGTTTATGGCAATACTATGTAAAATGTGACACTACAAGATTAAGCAAATAAAATCATTTGGCATTTCTCCTCAAAGCTGTTTTTATTTTTATATCAAAAAATATCTACACTTGGCAAATATTGACTTACCTACAAAAGTTCTCACCAGCTCTTGGGAAATCTGGGAATTCTAAAAGCAGAGATGAGCATGGGCCTCTTAAAAAGAGGAAAATTTAGAAGAAATAAAAGAAAGTAGGTAACTAATTTAAGAATAGAGTAGATAGCTAGCTTGTTGAAGTTATTAAAGGGCAAACAGATTAAAATATGTTTCCCCCAAAATTAAACAATACACAAACGGGAGGTTTATATTCTTTAGTATAATTAACTTTAGTTCAAGCGGGGGAAAGGGATCTATTCCAACCTGTACTCTGGATTACACTTTCTTCTTAGCTCTTCAGAGACTATGATCCATAATATATATATATATATATATATATGAAGAGTGTAAGTGTAAAGGGACTCTGAGGTTTCCTTCTTGCTTGCCACCCCAGTTAGAAGTTCAACCAAGGAACTGTGTGTACAGTGGATAGCAGCCTTCATAGTATACCAATCAGAGACTAAAGAGTGGCAGCTGACCGACTGCCTTACCTGGGAAGAGCGCAATGATGGTGCCAACCTGGGCCAGTGAAGCGACGTCCTCCACAACTAGACTGAAGAACAAAAGGACAGCAACTTGTTCCCCTTCCCCGATTCCCCAGCGCTGTTCCCTTCCCCCAATTCCCCAATAAAATCTTTAAAAAAAAAAAAAAAGAGTGGTGGCTGGGCAAGGGACCCACAACACCTGTCCTCAAAAAATTATGTACTTGCTACCACGAAAGCTTCAAATTGGCTCATCTTCCCCCAGCAACGTTTGACAACTGCTGCTGAAAAAAAGGGAAAATATATTGGGGGGAGGGAGACAATAGTACCATCTTCTCTGTTCCAGTTCTTTCCAGTCCAAAATATCAACCTCGTTAGGCGTTTCAGGGTTCTTTAAATATCCAGCTACATCCATGAATTGTACACCCAGTCTTAGCTCCACTAAGAAATGCACTGGCCGCCTGACCTGGACCTCTGAGCCTCTTTATCCTCATCTGTAGGATGAGGATAATGATATGCGCTTCACAGAGCTTTTGTGAGAATTTTTAAAAATAACATATACAAAGGGTCTAGCACAGTGCCTGGCACACACTAAGTGCTCAACCAGCTTGTTTTCTGTGTGTGATGGTGACCCCAGAGCTCCTGTCCAAGGGGTGAGGGCCAAGGGGTGGTGGTGAGTGTATGGACCAGCAGCAGGGAGGTATTCTCTGCATCTTATATTTCCTATTAAACCACAAGATTGTGAAAGGCAGAATCAACACCAGGTTTACCTTTGTATTCTCCACAGAGTCTGCCCTTCTACTTGCTTGGCACATAGTATATCATTTTGATCATGGCAGGCTCAGCAGTTTACAGAACAGAATACCACTGTATTAAGTCAAGAGATTCCAATTCTAACACCAGCATTGCCAATAACATGCAGTATGATTTTCAGAAATGTACTCAGGGAAACATTGTTGAGCATCTACTATGTGGTGGGCACAGCAGCTGCAGGGGATGCAGTAGTTCAGACATGGTCCTTGCCTCTAATGATGGAGATAGACTTTAGACAATGATCACGTGGTTAGTTAGTTACAATTGTGAGAAGAACTATGTGAATAGACTATATACAGATGGACCTAAGGGTGTTTGGAGAGATAATTCAGGGAAGGCTTTTCTGAGAAATTGACATTTGAGCAGAGACCTGAAGGTTGAATTAGAGTTAGCCAGGTGTCACAGAGGAGGGCAGGAAGGAGTGCTACAGGTGTATGCAAACAGCCCAGCACACTGTAGGAGTATAAAAGGTCAATGTGGCTGAGCTTAGGTAATAAAGGTGATGGGGCACGAGATGATTCAGGAGCAGCAGGCAAGGGAACGGGTCATGCAGCAGCATTTTGGCCTTCAACCGAAGAGCAACAGGGAGCATGGTATGCCAAGGCGGGCCACAGTGAGAGGGAGCCACCTTGGGGTTAGAAAATAAGGGCTGCATTGTCTATAGAGAACTGAAAAACGATAGTAAAACTAAATAGAACTTTTTATTTTCACTATGCACGGGGAATTCTAACTATGTCAATCAGTAGTGTGCTAGTAAATGTTTAAAAACTGTTTCTCTGGAGATATCTATAGCAACATCTATATCTATATATAATAGAGACAGATATAATGTACTGATATAAAGGATGTGTGGCACACAGTTTACAAATGATGATAAAATATACAAATACTCTTTATTGCGAATTCCTATAGTTGATGGATTCTTATGGAATGTTTTTGATTTTTGCCAAAGGCTTGTATCTGTATCCAACTGATGCTCATAATTCAACCATGAGTTCACAAATGGAATTGCATCTCAATCTGCTTTTCTCAATAAATTTACTGCCATTCACTCTGATATGTGATCTGTTAAACTATTTCTCACCCTTTCATTAAACTGAAATCTTTTCATTTCAGCACTAAGCAAAACACACTGTAAGTTTAATCTGCATGATTAACATTTTCTCCATCATTTTCTTAAGTCTAGAGACAACCAACAAAACAACAAATCAAGCCCTGATTCATAATGTTTGTCAACTTCCATGGTGTAAATAATCCCACAGTGACCCATTGCAATCTATCAATGTGACACCACTGAATATGAGTTAGGAAGACACAGTAGCACAGCATTATATGTAGTAGTGAAGATGGAAAGAAGTGGACAGATTTGATACTTAGCAAGTAGAATCTTGCTAATTTGTTAGATGCTAAGGGCAAAGGCAGAGTTTGGGAAATAGTGGGCCAATCGCTATCTCAGGGAAACCTGGCGAGTAGCAGGCAATGAAAGCTTGCATTCCTTTGGAGATGTGTTCCATTTGAGGTGATTACATGACACAACCAAGTGGAGAAGCTGAACAGAAAGACAGATTGAACGGGTTTGGAGGTCAGGGAAGTAAGGATCAATGATGTAAATTTGGGATATATTGATTGAAACGTTGGCAGCGGATTAAATCATGCAGGGAAAAATCGTGAAATGAAAGGGCTGAGACCTTGAAAATGTCGTTTGGAGGTCATTAAAAAGCAGATAAGGAAGCCAAGGAGAGCAGGAGAGCAAAGTACGCTATCACCAAAAGAAGTATATGTGTTAAGGCGGAGAAATGTAAAGCGTATTTTGCTGAGAGAGCAGGTGAAATAAGCGAGACTGTCCATTGGATATAGTGATCTGGGTGTTATTGATGACGACAGCAAAGGCAGTTTCAGTGGAGCGTGGAAACCAAGAAGTAAATGGGAGTTGGGAGACTAGAAGAGTGGGAACAGGAAGCTCTTTCAACAACTTAGCTAAGGAGAGTAGGAGAGTGGCAGGGTGGCAGCTAGAAAGGTATGCAGACTACAGGAAGGCCTGGGACTGATTAAATGCTGATAATAATAGGGATCCAGTCAAGAGGTAGAGTTGATGTTAGATCAGATTCTGTAATACTGGGGGAAAGGGGGAGGGAGCGTGGAATGCGTGCTTTCAGGAGTAGGTTTGTAGATTTGGCAGTGGAAAGTGGATAAAGTTTCTCTTTTTCTTGAAACAGGAGACAAAGTAGTCTGCGAAAGGGGCTAACGGAGGCTAATGGGCAGGGTGCGCAGAGTTGCAATCCGGTTGGGAATGGAAGTTTAGGGCAAAGTGACTATGAAGATCTGGCCAGGAGTAGCGCCACAGCTGGGTCCGTGGGTCAGCAGGAGAATGAAGACCCTGGACCATGGAAGAGGACCTGCTAAAAACAAAAGCCAAGGGCAGCCGGGGCCTTGGATGGAAGAATGCAGTTTCACTTCAGTTCTGAAAGGCAGAAAGTGGAGACACACATTTGAAGTTAACTCCTCCTAGACAGGAAGAAGTCCAGAGTTCTGGTTGTTCCGATCCAGCTCCTGTTCCCGCAGGGAGGCTGCAGCCCTTCCGCGGAGCGCCATCGACAGCGCGAGGAGCGCGACACAGGTAGGAAAAGGGCCCGGGCCGGCGGAAAACAAGAGAAGGGACGCGCCTGCAGTGGCCCGCGAAGACCCGCGAGGTCGGGATCCCGCAGCCAGCCTCACCGGGTCAGGCTGGGACCGCCCTTTCCCGCCCCGGCCGCGCCCGGACTCCGCGCGCTCAACTGCGCTTCCTCCTCTGTCGCGGCGCGGATGCGTCCTTGCGGCTCCTTCGCCACAGACAAGAACTCTCTGGCCTGACGTCACCGACGCACTAGCCAATGGGCTGAAGAGGCACCGGCTGCAGCGGAAAGTGACGGCAGAAACAGCCAATGGCCGCGAGGAGGGGGCGGGCCGAGGCGGGAGTGTGACAGTGACCGCCCGCAAGCTTGGGGAGCTGCGGGAGGTGAGGGCTGCGCGCGGCGCGGGAGGGGGCGCGGCGGGGGGCGGGGGGTGCGGCGCGGGCGGCCCCTCCCCCTGCCCAGCTCCGGGCGGGCGACCAGAGCCGCGGGAGTTTTCGCGCCCGGGAGGGAGATGCGGCCGCCGCTCGGGCTCCTTGCAGGTAACGCGCGGGGCGGCCCCTGCAGGGCGGATCTGGGCCGAGCACGCTGCGGGGCGAGCAGAGTTGGGCGCTGAGTGGACGTGGGGTCCCCGCTGCCGCCCCCAGCTGCGCGGGCTGGCCCGGGCCTGGCGGCGGCGCTGCTAGAAGAGTTGGCTCCGGGACCCAGGTTGCGGCCGGGGCCGAGGTCACGGGGATCGCGGGCCCCGGGCACCCCGGTGTAAGCAGCACGCGGGACAAAGGGCGCGGTGTGGAGGGTGCGCGCTCCCCCTGTCCGCGCCCGGGGCTGCGGCTCCTGCGTCTCCTGAGTCCCGGGCAGCCGTCACCCTGCCTGCTCCGCACCGGGCGCCTGCGACACCTGGTCCCGGGGCCCCGCGCCTGGCCGCCAGCTGGCTGTGGCGCGGGCGATGGCTGGGCGCAGCCGGGCCGCTTGGCCGCCTGCCCTGGGTTAAAGGCGGCTCCCCTGCAGCGCAGCGAGTGACAGCTATTCGGTGCTGGCTGCTGAGCTGAGCGGCAGGAGAGCCGCGTGCACCCACCAGGGCACCGGGGAGTCACCCAGTCGCCACTTCCCCCTGCACAGGCTTGGAGTTTGGGGAAGCCAAGCAGGTCGAGGAACCGCCGCTTCGCCTCCTGCGAACTCCACGGGGTTCTGGGGCTTGTTGATGTTGTGACTGTGGGCTGCGCCTATTTCTTTCTTTCCTTTTTTTAACCACACACAAAAGAAGGGAGGAGTTAGAGGAAAGAGCTAGCCAGCGCGTTGTGAATCATCCTACACTGCTCTTTCCCTGGGGGAGCAGATGGATGGGGAGAATTCCTTGAGAAACAATTGCAGTAACTACTGACTGGGTACCCTCCCTTTCCCCTCTCCTTGCAGTCCCGACCGCGTCTGACGTGCCCCAAGTGCAGGTAGGATAAAGTCACGCAGACCCACTTCCACGGGAAAATGGCCACAAGCGAGCAAGCTGGAAACTTTCTGGGCCAGTGGAACTATGAATGTCGAACCACACACTGTCATTCTTGCTATAGGCAGACATGGCCCTCATGTGTCACTGAATTAAAAAACGGGAAGGCGATCACTGGGGAAAGATAGCACTTGGAGTCGCATTTTGTTTAGCGCTAGGTGGTGAAGGGAGGTTGAGATGACAGTCTCCCTTGCCATGAGGGCTCTAAAGGAGGAGCGGTTAGCTCAGGTCTCCAGATGCTGGGTCAGAAACAATCGAGTTATTTAATCTGATTTCCAGAGGCACCGTTTCATCTCAGCCTGGCAAGAGGGCAGCTGGCGTGTGGATGGATTGTTACTGATGAGGTAGAAAGGCCAGCCTGAGGCCAGCAGGCCCTTCAACGCATGTGGAAGCATTTTCCGTCGTAGGTGGCTGCTGCTCATTTTTCCACGCTTGCTCATTTTTTAGGTTTGATCTGCCATTCCTGTTTCCTGCAATCCAGGCTGGGTCCCCAGGGTTCACAGCTCAGTGACATTTGTTTTTTGGGAGCGGGGTGGGGGTCCCTGTTTCAGGTCTTTCTGACCTTTTCATTGATGATTGATTAATGTGTTTTAACCCCCTGAAAATAGAGGTTTGATATTAGAAGTTTGAGAATAAAAAGACTTCTGTTTTGTTCTAAATTCATCTGCTGGTATGGCTGCTTAATTCTAAATACAGTGTGAAATGGTCACAGGCGTCAGATAGGGATCAGAGCACCAACTTTATCAGCTGGCAAAACTGGTTAGAGCACTGCTTAGACTGAATTGGGGTTGAGGCCACAGTGGGGTTTCCTTCTTCTCACTCCATGTAAAAAACGTACCATCCAACCACACCCAAGAGCCAAGGCCCCCAGGCAGGACAACACCTGGAGACAAGGAATAGGGCAGTGCAGCCAAGGGCTCATCAAGAGAAAAATGGAACATGTCCCTTCCTATTTCATGGCCTGGGCACAAAAAAAACAAACAAACAAAAATGTGGAGGGAACTGGTCCCCCTACCTACCACCTCACGTGGGCAGGGTTTGTTTTACCCAAGAGCCAAGCCTAGCTGGGATCCCTGAAGAACAGGCCATTTACTGTAGGAGGAAGTGGAGCTGGGAACAGGATCAGTATATGTATGGCTGTGAAGTTTATGCAGGACACACAGACACCTGGCCAGGGAAGCAATGCCCTGGGTCTGCCCAAAAGAAGGGCACGTTTTATTCACTTGCATCAGATCAACTGATAGGCTACTACTACGACCCTGGTAAGCAATCTACAGGAATAGACAATTGATGGCAACATCAGTGATACCAAGACAGGAAGTTAGGGACTAGGCATCAGGAACTAATTTCTCCAAAATAGCAACAATAACTGGAACTAAATTATTTTCATACATCCTGTCCTTTAATCCTCACCACAACCCCCTGAAATAAGTAGTGGTACCCTGTTGTGCCAATGAGGAAGTGATCCTTAGAAAGACTGAGTAGCTCCAGGTCATGCAAGTAGCAAACCCACACCTGTCTGTCTCCAGAGCCTGTGCTCTTAATCACCGGCCTTTGAGAATGTTGCATGGGTTCCTAACATGCTGCAGCTTTTACTGCACTTGCTAATCTGCAGTATTTTCTGAACTATCCAGTATACACATTAACCATAATGCCTTAAACAAAAAAGGTATCCGTGAGTATTTTCAGAGGCAGCAAAGAAGTGGGAACCTTGGATACTAAGGGAAGAAAGCTGCTACGAGGAGGGGAGCCAACCAGAATGGAGAAATAATGTGGAAGGCAGGAATAGGGCCAAACTGTGTTCTCTGAAGGCCCTGCAGACGACGAGGGGATCATTCTGAGATTGGCTCAACCTTCCTGCTGACTCCACAGGCTTCCAGGCCTGGCCCAGCAGGACACCCCAGATGTTAGGGGTCCGTAGTCTGCCTTCCATATATCTCAACTGTTGCCTGAGTACCAAAATGATTAGTCTGTGTTACAATCTGAGATGACAGTTGAGGCCTGACAACTAATTTCAGAAGCACAGATGATTTCCTGGTTCAGTATTCTACCTGAAAGGCCACTTGAAACTCATGTGAAATAATATTCAAGTATTTGGGCCTAAAGCAGATAACATCAAGACCACCTGTCAAGTTCACTCTCTATTGTGCATTTGAAACTGGTATAAAATATCTGCTTTCCTCCACATTAACTTTTTAAATCAAAGAACGCTTTTTTATTCCCTCCATGTTAAGTCATGGTATCTTCCTAACTATTAAGTCTTATTTATTTTAAGTAACAGGAGTCATTTCTTTAGCTCAAATGTAGACATAGTAGTTGGGGCCTGCATGGTGACCTATATTGTGTTTGAAGCTGTAATTTGGACTTGACCAATGGTTAACCCTTACATTGGAAAAGAAAAAAACAAGGCAGCAGGTAGCTGGAATTTCCCCCCCATCAGTCCCCCCTCTTCCCACCGCCTTCCCCCCCCTCCCCCCACCAGCACTTGCTGAGAGCATGCGTTACATCAGGTGGAGAAGCTCAAAGGACCAGCAGTGAAAGTTGCAGGGCCTTTCCTCTCTTGACTGAAAACCTGGATCTCTTTCCAGCACTTGGAAAGGGATAATGTGACTGTTGGATCTGTCTCTGCATTCACTCAGATAGAAGACTATTGAAAAGATGCCCGTGAGCTCAGATGGCCTATTTGTTTGACTTATCGATTCCATAATCTGGGGGATTCCCTTAGAGACCTGGAAGCAAATATTTATCCAAACTGCCTTCCCAATCAAGAAGCCTGGGATTCTCCTCCATCTCAGCATGAGAGGAATGGGGAGAGGTCCCTTACTCAGGAAGACAAGAGCCTCAGCACCAATACACCAAATACTAAAGGGGATTTTCAGAAGAAAATAGCTCTGTGCCTGTGCTTTCACCAAACTCCTTGAAGAAAGTACTTGTAATAAAGCTAGCTCCCCTGGGCATTCATTAAAGCCAGACAGTGTTTCTAAGCACTTTAGTTGGATGTGTTATTTCACCCTCCCGACAACCATGTGAGGTTGGCACAGTTATCATCCCCTCTTTAGACATGAGGAAATAGGCCCAGAGAGGTTAAGCAACTTGTCCAAAGTAACATAGGATTGGAACCTGAGCAGTTGACCCAAACATAATCCTGGTAAATCCAAAGAAAGCACCTATTGAGAGTGTGTGGGAATGGGGACAGATAAAATGTGATTTGGGGAGGTAGTTTGTTATTTCTTTGGGCGAATTCCAAGCCAGGAAGCTCTTAAGCAGGTCTCACTGCTGGGAAGTTATGCTTTGCAGGGTAGCAGAGGAAATGGACTCTAAGAGGGTAGGTGACACACCCAAGGCCACAGAACTAAGAAGCATAGCTGAGAGGCAAAATTTTCTGGCTTTCATATTTTGTCTGTTTGAAAGACAATTTTAAAATAAGTAAATTTTTAACTTGATTCTCTCACCAATATTAAAGGTTATATCCTCACCTAGAATAGCCTCTATTCTTCTTTCAGATACAGCTCAGTTCTTTGTGGAATAAGATATTTCCCCAAACCAGTGGGTCAACAGCGTTCTCTCCTTCCTCTGTTTATCGTCTGTGTGAACCACTGATCTGGCATCAATCGCATGCCCTGCCTCATCATCTCTATTCATCTCTCTCCCAGCTTTTCATCTAACTGGCACGAGCATCTTGAGTTCTCAGAATCAGAATCATGTTTCATACCCCGTCTCCACATACAATAGGCTAAGACCCAACAATGAATATTTCTTGATTTTTCTTGATTGAATGAGAATGATACCTTTTTTTTTTTAACTTTGTAAACTGGTTCTAGAACTATAAAAATTGATTCTCTTATGGGGTTGATAAATATTGGAATCCATTAAATCAGCGTTTCTCAAGGACCATTCAGCATCAGAAACCCAAGGGTTACTAATTTGGCAGGTTGAAGTTGGGACCAGGAGAATCTATATTATGTTCCAGGTGACTTTTGTGCCCACTAGAGTTTGAAAACCACAGTTTTTAATGAGTGCATCCTCTAAGATTGCAGCATAAAGGACTGTCTACCTCTTATTCATTTGAGGTAAATATGTACACTGGAGAAATATTCCTAACAATGCACTGATGAATATTTATACCATGTTATTTTTCTTACAGACTTCTAACCAGCATAATGCTGCAGCCAGTGGCTGGCAGCCTGCAGTTTTCAAAATGGCCGAGTTGGAGGCCAGTTTGGACGATGTCATTCCGTCTTCTGTGCTTCCTCCTTTCTGGGCTAAGTTAGTAGTGGGATTCGTTTCCCTCGTGTGTTTCGCACGTAGCTATGATGGAGATTTTGTCTTTGATGATTCTGAAGCTATTATTAACAATAAGGTTTGTATCTTAATTCCTTCCTGATAAACTTATATTTACCACTTGCCTATGTCTCAATAATAATCTAAGTTTGTGCTGAATTATTATTTTCTATTAAACTTAGGTTAAGCATTAGCCTGGGCCCCAACAGTGCTCTAGATTTTCCCTCTCTTTTAGATAGCACCTCCTTGATTGAGCTCCTTTTCTTGCTGGCAGCAGGGTCTCCAACCCCTGCCTAACCTCAGACCTTATCCTCCCTGTGAACCCCATGTGAGGCCCCCGTCCACACCTGTATCAGAGAGACCGTTATTCTAAGATTAGAAGGCAAGGGCATTGTAATCTTAGACTAAATATTTCAGGTTTTGTGACAAATTTCCAGAACTCTAGGCCAGAACGATTCCTCCCACCCCACTCTAGAAAAACAACAACAAAAATGCATTTGCTACAGTGATGGACGAGTCTAATCACCCACAAAAAGTTATGTCCTCAGCAGCAGGCAGCGAGCTGTCTTCTTCTTTGTCCTTTGTTGATAGCATCGGGACAGCCTGCTGACAGCTGCTAGAGGACAGGGAGCTTACTGCCGGTGGATAATGCAGTTCCTGCTCATTTCGTGTTCGGAGACTCAGATTTGCTGAATTTGCAAATTCCCAGCTGGTTTTGCCCTATCAATAGGAGCTTGCTATATTGGTGCAGGGAAAATGATACTCTCTTTCACTCTAGAGATAGGGAAGAAGGTTTGTGGAAAGGGAAGAAAAAAATTTCAAGGAGCTAAAAGAAAATTAGAACAAGAAACTTGGAGGCAGGGAAGACCCAGAGGAGAAAGAACTTGGAAATGGCACAGGTTAGAGCCTTTGTGACAATCTAGTTACTCAGCAGATATTTTATGTATGTGCATTAATTAGTGAAGAGAGTTTGAAGGAGTATACTAGCGCCTCCCTCTCTCTCTCTCTCTCTCTCTCATTCTCCTTGTTGCTCTCTCTAGTAATGCAACTGTAGGAACTCTTTGTAACACTGTTGAATGCTCTTAAATTTTTGAAGTCATGGATTCTACCAAATGAGGAAAAAAAATCATTTTCATATTGAAAATGTTGGAAAAAATTCTGTATGTAATGAACACTTTTTCTGGGGGGTGGAGGGAAATGACCGTTTTGCAGACATTTTATTTGTAATACATTGCAGTTGATTTTCTCTAGTTGAATGGTACAAACTACAACATTGTTGATGCTTGTTTTCATTCATTCTTCACTTCTAATTTTCTTCAAGTTCACCCAGCCATTGCTGCAGCTGTTGTTTCAGTTCTTTTTAAAACCACACTTAAAAGAACAAGAAGTTTGTAGCTCAAAGCAACTACATCGCATTTGTGGCTTCGTAGCTACAGAATTGCTTTCCTAACAAGGATTCGAGGTTATGACTTTATTTTTTAAATTTCGTTCTTTGTTTTATTGGGAGTTTCTTGACTCTTCACCTTTTATTAAGGGAGGTATATAAAGTGTTACCTCAGAAGCTCTCCGGAAGAACTTGGGTGAGCAAGGCATGGGAAGCGTGGGCTCCGTGGGTGTGGGATGCCCTGGGTGGGGGGGGGTCATCCTCTTTCCTTTGGGGATAAGGCAGATGCAGCCCTGTTGTGGCTCTGCTGTGCATTGTCTTTGCAGTGTTTTGTACAGCATCACACTGTGCCCCTTTGTTAACTTACTAGCCCTCCCCCCCCCTTTTCTTTCCCATTTAATGAAAGGCGCTCCTCCGTTCACTGGCACCATGCCTACAGTAATGTGAACCAGGCTGTTACTGGCTTTTATTGGTGTTAAAGACTGTTTTCCAGATGCTCCCTTGTAGCGTTGAGTTGCCTGCTTTCATGGAGATGATGATTTTCTTTGAGACAGTGGAGTTAGCAGGGATTTCAGCCATAACACGTCTTTTCTATAAATCATTACGAGGAAAAATTTACCTTTCTTCTTGTAGCGTGCCCCACTCGGTGTAGGCTACGCCTAATCAAATATTTAGAACTTCTTTGGTGTTCATTTTCTGCTCAAATGGAGGGAAAGATTCTCTACCCAACCCCTTTACAGCTAAACAAGAACCCAAGGGATGATGAAAAAGGAGATGGACTTCCAGTTTTATGACTGAGTAAGCTCAGTTAGTGGATGGGTTACAGAAATGTCTAACCAACTCATAGAGGGGTCAGTATGCTCAAAGCCTCTGAGGCTGATGCCCAGTAGAAGTGAAATTCACCCTCAAAGTGAGTATCAGGTGACCAACTTTGCATCTCTCGCCTCTTTGCAAGCTTTTCTCTTTGAGTCAGCAAACATTTAAATAGCTAGGACACAACTGACCTCCACTGTGTGTCATGGATACTGGTGATTCTCTTGGGCCAGCCATGATTTGACACACTGTCTCTGTTTGAGGCATTCCTCACTTTCTGGTTGTTCTAAGCTGCAAAGACTGGCCAGTTTGGATGCAGACACAGACCTAGGCTCTTCTATCAGGTGCTCCCACCTGTTGGAGTCAGGAGCTAGTCAGGCAAAGAGGGGGGGCTCTGGAGGCAGCCAGCCACCTCAGCAGGGTGTCCAGGGGTGTGATCTGTGGGTGTGCTTCTGGCTGCCCAGCCCTAAACCTGGTTTTCCAGCCCACATGGTAGTCAGGGAGCCTTGCAATCCCCTTGAAAGCATCCTTTCTTTTGCTTAAGTTAATCAGAGTTGATTTTACTGCAGTGAGGAGTCTTGACTGATACACCATGCAGTGCTTAGAACATCATAATTTCTAGCCCCTAAAATATCCCTGTCTCATTATGCTTTAAATAGAAAATTAATATTTGGCTTTTTTACTTACCTTACAGTACCTTGTCTGCCTTCTTATTAGACACAATTTAAACAACCTAGTTTCACAATTAAATGTAAAAAAAAAGATGCATTTTTAAGCATCTGTAGTACAGTACCAAATTAAATTGCCTTAGTAGTAAGATAGGTCTAGTTCTTAATTCATAGTGATCTTTACCTTTAAAAATTATGTGGAAGTTGTTTTTTATTTAATTTTACTATGCTTAGTTCATGATCAAAAATGGGAAACTTTAAAAATAAGTGTTTATCCACACTTATGTTTTAACTGGGATATTTTTGGTAAACTAACTTATGTATTGTATATGAGAGAGGGTAATAATGATTTCCTTTAGCTATATGATCCATTCATTCAGCATAGATTAAGGACTTTCTGTGTACTCCTAGCAAACACAGATGTGTCCTGGGCCCCTTAGAGCCTCAGTTCAGTGGGGCAGACAGAAAATAATTACATGATTATAAATCACCAGCGTGCCAGGCTCTGTGAGGATAGATGCGAGATACTCCAAGACCCATAGAAGGGGAACTGCATCAGCTCAGGAAAGTTATAGCTAAATGGCCAAGATATGAATGGCTGGAGGAGCCGCATTGTGAAGAGTTGAGGGGTGACTAGCTGGGTGGAGACCTGCACGTGCAAAGCCTTTGGGATGGGGTGCAGCAGGGGCTGTGTAGGGATTGGACAAAGGCCACTAGCAGGATCACCAAGTCCGAGAGATGAGCCTGCAGAGTTCAGTGGGAGCCAGAGCACCCCAGGACTCTATGGAGTCCACATGAAGACATTGGCTTTGCCCTGGAAGAGGGGAGAACTGTTGTAGTGTTTTCAGCAGGGGCAGGTGGAGTGACCTGATTTGCATTTTGGAGAGATCAATGTGGAAAAACATGTCAGAGAGTGCAGGAGACCCGCTAGGAGGCCTGGCTGTGTCCTAGGTGAGAGGTGATGGTGGCTTGGCCCAGGACTGATAGGAGAGATGGAGAATAAAGGTGTGAGGAGCTTTAGAGAAGAAGACTTGGTGAGGGCTTAGATATGGGGTGAGGAGTCATGACCCCTTTTCTAGAATGTCCCCTGATTGTGTTCCTGCAGGATCTCCGAGCAGAAACGCCCCTTGGGGACCTGTGGCATCACGATTTCTGGGGCAGTAGGCTGACCAGCAACACCAGCCACAAGTCCTACCGACCCCTCACTGTCTTGACTTTCAGGTGAGGTATGATGGTGTGGGCTGGACGGGAGGGCCACCCAAGGCTTGTGCATGATAATGAAGAGGGTTGTGTGTGACAAGGTTCGTAGGGTCCGTGAGTCAAGTCAGTGGTTCTAGGCCACTCACTCGGAGGGTCTCCAGGAAGTACATGATAGTTCCAGCTATTAGGAGTTAGGTCACAGGGCAACAGAGAGAATATGCATGAGGAAACTTGATTGCAAGCCTCACTTTGGCACTGCAGGTGCTAAACGTGGAACAGCACAGAGAAGCATGGCTCCTGGACAAGGAGGACATGCAGATTGGTGAAGTGTTCCATTTTGTGGTTCTTGGAGGTTGGATCTTTTGTGGGTTAATACTGAGGAAACAATATGAGTCGAGGCAAGATACGACATCTAATAAAATTATGATTTTTTTCATTACAAAAAAAATGTATACATCTTCCTACTGTTACCAAGTCAACAGGCAAAAACAAAATGAAGCTAAAAACAATCTCACCACCCTCGCATTAACCAGGGAGCTGTTTACATTAAATAGATTTATTCACCACACAAAGTTTCCATTCATTTCTGTTTCTTGGATGCGTTAAGTACTGTGTATAGATCTCTCAAAGAAGCATGGAAATGATGAATTGGAACCACTGGTAATTGAAAAACAGTCAGAAATAAGAAACCCTGACAATGAGAAAGTATTTCACTGTTCAGGAGGCTGGTGGACAAACTGTAAAGGAGTACATTTTATTATTTTGTGTGTGTGTGTGTTTAAGCAAGTTACATGACTATCGTAAGTCCAGGTCCCTACAGGGTAGCCATGAGTAATGTATTATATCTTCTTGGAATGCAGTTTTGCCTTATTTGCACTTAAAAAATTCTTTTGCTTTCCCTCTCCAAGTATTTGCTGTCTCACTTCTCAGAGATCCCCTTATTGTCCATTCTCCCCTCTGGAGTCAATTATATTCTTACCTTTTCTTCAATCTTCTTAGCTTGACAGGCATTATTTATCTTAGTGCTATTTTACCAAAATTGCATGCAGTCCTTCTCTTCTCCTTTTAGTACTTTCGCTCACCAGCCTTTCCTCCAGGCCGCTTGCATTTTATTTCACATGCCTCTGTGTATCTGGTGTGAGCACCCTTCCTTTGCTACAGGATTAACTACTATTTGTCGGGAGGTTTCCACCCTGTGAGTTTCCACGTCGTCAACATCCTGCTGCACGGTGGCATCTCTATGCTCCTGGTGGACGTTTTCTCTGTGCTGTTCGGTGGCTTGCACTACACCAGTAGAGGCCGGAGGCTAAACCTGGCCCCCAGGTCGTCCCTGCTGGCTGCACTGCTGTTCGCCACACATCCGGTGCACACCGAGTGTGTAAGTATTGTCTGCCCGCAGCATCTGTACTCGTGTAAGGACAAGAAGCGGGGCGCGTGTCAGTTCATTCCCTAGATCAGACTTCCTTTACATGCTTGCAGAGCTGTAGAAGTATACGCTGCTATGCCCTGCCAGGCATTTGAAATGGCTGTGTATAGGGGTAGCAAGCCTCTCTTATGGAAAAATGAAGAGTCCCATATTGGTGAAGACTTGATCATGGCGGTATGGTATGATCCCTGGTGACACTCTGTTTTGCTTACATGGCCACACTGTAAAGGTATGAATGTTGAATGTTGTTCGGCTTTGGGGTCTAAATGCTAAGATTACCTTTCTTCAGCAAAGAGTCTGATGCAATTTTCCTGTGTTGGCTGAGAGATGTATAATTTGCAAAAATCCTTTCTCATACTATTGTGATTGTCCCCACAACTCTATGGGGCAGCATAACAATTTCCACTTTATGGAAGAAAAAATGGACTTGGAGGACAAATAAAGGCCTTATCCCAGGTCAGTCATGTAGCGGGTGGATGTAAGGATAGAACTTAAAATCTGGTTGTCTAAGGTTTATGCAGAGGAGATGCCAGCATACTCTGAGTTGAACTGGAAATGGGTCCCCACATCCTGCTGGGGAATTTCTCATGCATTCTCCCACCTTCCTTCTCCTCTTCCTCACTCCCTGTATTATCCTCCTCCCCATAACAGAGTTGGCCCAGGTGGCTTGGCGGCTCCTGACAGGGCCTACCCTGCTGTCCTGTGGGCCGTGCCTTTATTCCATTGAACTGCTGTGAACGTATGCGGTACAAACTCTGTGGGGTTTTCAGCAACCACGCTAGCCCCGCCTCTGTGATAACCCTTTGAAAATGTAAATCACCGTGTTCACTGAGGGAAAAGATTTAATTTTAGTCATTCATTCAGGGAGCGTGAAGTACCTAGTATAAAATACTATGTGTATTCTATTACTTCACAATAGACCTCTGCATCTCATCTGTATTTAAACACCAACATATTAACCGATTGTATGGGGCATCTTGAAATGAAGTTTCAAAATACTGAGCAAAATTCCTGCCTTTAGCGTCTGATTTTATTAAACTACCTACTCTTTGGTAGTAAGGAGATTGTGGAATTGTTCTCACAACGTTCTGCTAATGCCTTATTACTGTAAAGCTTTAAAAAACATTATCATAATTTTTTACTTCAGCAAATTCAGAGGACTTAAGGGACTGGCAGGCTGGGAGCTGTTGTAAGCTACATATACAAATAGAATTTTTTTCTTTATGAGTTCTCTTTATGGTCTAAATATTTGTTGGGACCTAGAAATAGTATACACATTGATCAGAAATAAGGGAATTTCTGGCAAAAATACTGATTTACTCTTTTGGTCCTTTTCTAATTTTGTGTGATATTAAAAGCAAAATGAAATGGTTGAATTATTAACCAAGGAAATTTTTCTAAAATTCTGATTCTAAATATTGAGAAGTCAGTTTATAGAAAGGTTTGAAATGTATACAAAGCCCCAGATAAGTGCAATCTGGGAACATGTTATCCCCAAAACTCTACATTTGAGATATTTCAAATTAAGCCAAGGGAAGTCTAGCTATAGAAGAAAAGGAAATACCTGAAGAAATGTCTTCATTTCTTCTGCACCTCCATTCCATGAAAGCCATTCCTATTGCAAGAAAAAGTTATAGGTCATTAAAAATTAGCATTCCTAAGATAGGCAATTTGTATGTTCACCTTTCATTGTTTTGACAAATTGTATTCAGTTTCCTCCTATCTATGCCCTCCTGTTATTTCCCACTGTACACTTAACTGAGCAAAAATCAGGACCACCCTAGGAACCAATTGGAAGGAGAGTTCCCAAAGGTTTCCGGGCCAGTACCAAGGAAGCAGGTCTGTGCTCCAGGCTGTGGGCCTGGCCAGGATCTCTAATGACAGCCTTGGGCGCAGTGTCCCCACCGCCTACCCCAACTCAACACTGATCCGAAGGATTGAGCATTTGGGTAATAATTGTGCTGCTTCTGTTTACATTTATTAAAGGAACACAGTGGCGGTGTAGGCCCCTCCAAGTTTTATTAATGTCAATTTCTTTGTATTAACATTTATGTGTTTTGTGTCTTGACATTAACATGGATACTGTTTTTTGCTCATTGCAAATATGAACCTACATTTTCCAGTCTTCTGGGTAACCAGCCATTGACTTTGCCCGAGACTGAAGGGGTTCTGGAACACAGGACTTTCCATTTTAAAATGGGATCAGCCCCAGGCAAACGGCGATGACTCAGTCACACCCTGTAGTTTTCCCCCCTCCCAGTCCCCAAGTGCTAATTAAATAATTGTAATCAGATTTTTTTTTTTTTGCCACCCAAAGAGAGATATGAGTGTCTCTCATTTCCAAATATGTAGCCCTAAATTGCTCTGGTAGATATATAAGGCCTCCATCAGGCCAGTCACCAGAAAAGGGAGGTGAGCTAAGGGAGGGGACTGCCTAGCCTCTTGTCTCTTTGGAGACCAGGATGGAGGCCCCAAGGGTTCCCTGAGGACACCAGTGCAACTGTAGCCTTTCCTTTTTCTCAGAGCATTGGTGAAGATTTCAAATTGCCTGAATTCAGGTATCAAAGAGGGCAGCTCAGGCCTCCGTAATAATTTTGCCCATCCAACAAACCCGGAGTTAATACTGAAGGGACTGGGCGAGGAAACATTCTCCTTCTCCCCTTCTTCTAATTCCTTCTTATGCCCCCTGTGCACATTGTTCCTAGTGGGGAAACAACAGTGTCACCTGCTTTATGGATTTTGGGGGATTGCAGTGATTTTTCCAGAAAACTGGGGGGGAGGAAGAAACTGTTCTCTACCCTTCTAGGTTCTTTAAGCTGGTCTAATAATTAAATCAACATAAGACATATTAGCAAGAGAAAATAACCAAATTTAATTATATACTACATGCAGGAACCCCACATACACAAGAGAGTCAGAGAGCCCACATACATGAGAGGTTCAAAGACAGAAAGGAAAAATGAGGTATATATGGCATCCTGAGCCAAGGGATGACGTAAGATGCCCAAGATGCCATGGGCTTCACAGGGGAGAAGGGAAATTCGCAGGATGATAAGAAGAGCAGATGTTCAGTAATTAGAAGTTTGCCCTGCCCTATAGATAGATCATAAAAATTTACTTCTGGTAATAACTCATTATGGGCACAGCTTCCAATTTAGATTCTTCTAGGTAGTTAAGGGAGGATTAGAAGTTTCTCCTGAGTCCACAGGGTCTCCATTGTCTTCAGCTCAAAATAATTCACATGCCAAAGTGGCACATCTTGGGGAGGTTTGTTCTGAACTCCTTCAAAATCCTGACATGAGTGTTTCAGGTTATTTGTAAGAAGAAAAAAAATAGGCTTTGTAAAGAACTTTGCCTGAAAATACATATTATGCAAATATCAGATAAGAAAAACGGTTAAATAATTGTAATCAGATTTTTTTGCTTCCCATGAGCCTCTTCATACCAATGCCCATCCCCCAAGATATGGTGCCTGCTTGGATAGCCTTTTACAGTTTTTTTCTATGGAATCTCTTTAATTACTATGCCAAAAATTCATTGTAAGGACTAAATACTCTTTTCACTTGAAAACATTTGCCATACTTTCAAGACTTGTTTTTGTTGTTGTTTTGGTTTGTTTGTTTTTTTATGTCAGACAACATAATGTATATTGCTTAAGATTTGGAAGTATCTTCACCAATTAGGCAAATGAAGACTGTTTGTTTTAAAAAATAAGTTTATAATGTTTAAAGTTCATTTTAGCGCAAGTCTTTAACTGTACCCAGATAAGAAGTGGGTTAGGCTGGCTGTTCGGGCCCCTATTCCTGGTATTTCTCCAAACCACTTCCTTCCCCTTCACTCACTTCGAGGAGCCTTGTTCTCTGACCCCCCCCCCACATCCCTCACTCTGCTCCTTGTGACCTCCATGATCTAAGGGCCCCTTTGGATAAGCCTCTCTGGGTTGGCTTTGCTTACTTGGCCTTTTGGAAGGGTATGGGATTCCGGGCCATCCTCAGGCCCTGTCGCTAGTCACAGCTGGAAAATACCCATCTTTTCTCTCTCCTTGTCCTAATGGGAGTCCCACAGGACCAGCTGCTCCCTCACTCACCAAGCTGCTGCGGAGCCCATACCTGCCTCACCCTGAGCTGCTGTGTCCTTTACCATTTCTTTCTGCTCCTTATGTCTACGGACGCACCCTTCAGGTTTCATGAGGGGAACTAACAGTGAGCCAGCACCGACTGTGTGCCAGGCTCTGTTCGGGTTCGCTGCATCGCTGATTTTACAGTATCCCTCATTGAGTGAGTTGCAGGCCAAAGTATTCAAGAACTCTCATTGCATATTCACTTCATTCATGAAGTAATAGTACTGTTTAACCCCCCGGCGTACTGGCGTACTTGTTCCAGACCTGTTGAACCTTTGTTTGTCCGTAGCATCCTTCTCGGGAGGTTTTTGCATGTGGGTGGCATTCACAGGTTGGATCCATCAGCTTGTTCAGTCTCCTCCGCGTTGCGTGATACCTCAGGTGGCCACATGCATGCATCAGCAATTCATGATCAGAATGGATAATCGCCCTCAACATTTCATATCTAACCAGTGTAGTAGGAAACTACTCTGAAAAGGCTTTCTTTGCAGTTATTGCTTGTGCAGACACTCGGGAATCATAGAAGAGGTTAACTCAAGTTCTAGACCAACAATGATAAGAGAACCAATTGTAAGATAAGACCACAGGGATGTTGGGCAGCGATACAGATTATTTTCTAAGGAATTTTTTGTATTCCCTAATTTTAGGATTTATTTATTTTTTTAATGTAAATCTTTTTTTCTTCCCTTCTTTTAAGGTTGCTGGTGTTGTCGGCCGTGCAGACCTCCTGGGGGCCCTGTTCTTTCTGCTGTCTTTCCTGGGCTACTGTAAAGCATTTAGAGAAAGTAAGCATGATATTTACCTTCTTAATTTTGAGGTGGGAAAATATTCGTTTATATAAGTTTATCACTTTGAGGGAATGTGGGTCAAAAGGGTAAGTTCTCTGTAGATATCTTGTTTACTCCATTGCTCTTTTAATATTACAAAGTTTGTACATCAGTGTTCACAGGGGAGCACCCTGTTAGATAGAGCTTCAGATAATTCAAGAGTTTCTGCTCTTGGTACTAAAGCAGTGGTGATTGAGTTTTGTAATTTTATTTCCAGCAAAATTGTAGGAGAAAAAGACCTTTGGTTTTGGGTTTTTTTTTTATTAAAACCGCGAGGAGAAAAACAATAAAAAAATGCTAAAATGTATAGCAGTGAATATGCACCTGGACTATGAGATTCTTGTGTTTTCATTAGAGTGGTATTGATATTTACAAAGAAAGTCACTGTGGTTGGAGTGGAAATTGCAGTGGTGTGGGAGGGTGCATGTGTGTGTGGAGGGATTGCCTGATGACTGGCAGCAGTACATTCACTGAGATCCAGTAGACTCCCTGTGTAACTCTAACTCTACTCATGATATGGATTCTGATCATGTCCACGTCAAATCATACCTTCCAAATTGTTTTATCGTAGAAATTGGATATGATACATTTAGCTTAGATAGCAGTTATATACTCGTATGCCAGCTGTAGCAACAGTTATACATTCAGTTTCTGTAGCTGAAGAAGTTAGAAGTGTATAAAGTGTAGAACTCCCTCCTGATGTATCACAATCAATTATTTGTATTGTGAGGGGGGAGTGGGGAGAAGAAGCGAAGGCGAGGGGGTCATTTCTTGTGGAATGCTTGAGTGGAGTGATTGCAGCAGAAGCAGCTGCACTTTGGCTTCCATGAGCCTTTTCCACGGTGTTCCCCAAAGCTTAGGTGTAGTCCGAGGCTGCGGGGCCTTACTATTATTGTCATATACTAACACTTGCACTTTGAAGTCTTGATGTCTCCTGTGAATTAATCTCTTATTAATAATGAAGGGCAGACCACTCATTCAGGATTTTGTGTGTGCTGGGGCTGGCGAAATGGGAGAGCTCAGGGTGGTTAAACAGGAACCCATGGGCCAAATCCAGCCCACCCCCTCTTATATAGTCCACAAGCTAAGAATGATTTTTACTGCTTTAAAGGGTTGGGGGGGGGGGAAGGATAGCATTTTGTGACATATAAAAAGCTACGTTAAATTCAGATTTCAGTGTCCATATACATATAAAGTTTTTTTGGAATATAGGCATACCCACTTGTTTTCATTTTTGTCTATGCTGCTTTTGCCCTCCAACAGCAGAGTTTTAAAAAGTTTGATAGAGGCCATCTGGCTTGCAAAGTCTAAGATACTTACTGCCTGGTCTTTTACAAAGTTTGCTGACCTCTGGGACAGAAGATTCCCATTTTCCAGATGTAGAACCCAGAGTTTAAGTAACTTTCCCAGGGTCACATAGCTACTTGGGGCAATAGCGGGTTTACACTTGTGTCTGCGTTACTAATCAAAGCCAACACCAACTGCGTTGTGCTCATCTGCTTCTCTGTACTCAGGAACCAGTGGTATCAGTCTCCAAAATCAACGTTTGTAAGGCTACTTACCTTACTGTTTGCTCTCAAAGACTCAAAGAGTTTCTAAACAAGTTTACCTTTCGAGAAATGCTGTCCCAAGGTGAAAAGGGCAAACAGACTAGATTCTTCTCTTGTGATTTTATTTTTAATGTCTTATAAATTACTGGGAGTTTTCTAACAGACACAAAACAAAGAATTAGTTATGTCATTTAAATCCCAATAGACTTTTTTTCCCTTATTTTTGTTGTTGTAAAATGTACATACCATAAAATTGACCATTTAAACCATATTTAAATGTGCTAGTTAAGTTCATCCACATTGTTGTGTAACCGTCACCACCATCCATCTCCAGAACTTTTTCATCTTTGCAAACAGAAACCCGAATGAGTAGTAATTCCCCATTCTCCCCTTCCCCCAGCACCTGGTGACTACCATTCTACTTTCTGTCTATGAATTTGACTATTCTTGGTACCTCATGAAAGTGGAATCATGCAGTATTTGTCTAGTTTATTACACTTAGAATAATGTCTTCAAAGCTCATCCATACAATAGCATGTGCCAGAATTTCCTTCATTTTTAAGACTGAGTAACGTTCCCTTGAATGTATATACCACATTTTGTTTGTCTGCTCATCTGTCAATGGGAATTTGGGTTATTTCCACATTTCGGCAATCATGAATGGTGCTGCTGTATATCCAATAGACTTGAAAAAGCGATAGACAACTTCCCTTTAACCATTTTTTTTTCTACAAAAGGACTTAGGCAGGATTACAAACTCTTCTAGGACAGGCTATATTGTTTTTTGTTTGTTTTTTTTATGAGGTGATTATTTATTCTATAAAATGATTAAAGTTTTTAACAAGCTTCCCAATAATTCATTTTTGGAAATAGTGTCAACAGGCTATATTGTTTTGATGTTCTAGAGATATTTAAGTTATGTGCCTAGAACATCAATATAGAAACTACCAATAGTTTTCAAAGGTGGATTAGGAAAGACCTGTGAGACATTTTAACCCACTGCCCCTCCTCCATCCTGTCCTTTCCAGGCTGACCGCAGGGCTCAGGTTGTGTGTCTTGGAGAACATATTCTCTTGAAGCTATGTCTCCACTAAAACACAGTAGAAGGGTGACCCCAGTGGCCCCAGACTGAACCATGCTTACTCAGGACTTGATGACACTCAATTACTCCCCACCCCATTTTATTATTATTTTATCTTACCCAGATAAAACCACCATGTTTTCCTGTGACTCATCCTTTTTTCTGACACATCAGAGAGTTTGGGGACAGCTGAATAGAACAGCTTCAAGTACAGAGAACAGTGGTGGCAATTTTTCCCAAGTCTGAAAGTGAACAGCGATAAGGCATGTCCAGCTCTTTCTGGGGTCAGCGTCTCCTCATCTGTGAGAACCTCAGGGGTCTGGTGCGGTGGGGAACTGCACCTGCCCAGCCTCACTGAACATTCGGCACCATAGAATGGCTTTTCCATAGGATGGTGAATCACTTATGGGAACAGGAGAGAGGGAGGGGGTACATTTACTCCCTCACTGTTCTGTTCTTAAGCTGGCAGCTAAATCTGAATTTGCACTTAGGTAAGATAACCGTTTATCAGTAGTCTTATTTTTACCTGAAGACAATTAAAACTTGAGTCTGTTGGCGTTTCTCAAAGACAACTCTAAAGTTTCATGAAGTATCATTTTATTAATTTTAACATATCTTCCGTTAAAGTAACTACTCCCTATTCTGAATGGATTTCAAAGACATCAGGGGTGCTCTTTGAAGAAAGCACTAAATGTTGACAGATTTCACATATGTGGGACGCATTATTTGGGAGGTATATAAAACCTCTCATTAATTCTAAAAATTCTTCTTGTGAAATAATGGAAAAGCAATCAGGATAGTAAAAATTGTTTTATCAAATGAACTGATACATTTATTAGCCTCCATTAATGGAGTATTCTCATAGAATGGTGAAAAACTAAAGACATTTTTTATTGGTTTTCTGGATTCTTTTACTAACCTTTTCTCAGTTCCACTTTACATATATACACATTCTGATCTATGTATCTATTTTTAATTCATTTGTAAATTATAAAATTATTTCCAAGAGTCACCCATACAGAAGGTAGATTTTCTTTTTTTAATAAAGCCTTTGGAAATCAATACCAAAGGTAAAAGTGCTTAATGTGTGATGGTTTTTTCAATTAATACTTTGATATATGAGAAATCAGTGAAGTATATTTCAGTATTAATAGAAATATATTACCTGCTAGTAGCATCGTAACCTTTCTTTTTTGGTCTAGTAGCATTCTTTTAACATTTATAATGTGTTTACTTTAAAATCGGAAAGAGATGTTATAAAGGGATTGTTATAGGCCTTTAATGTTAAGGATGCAAATGTTTTCAAGAAAGTTCACTTGGAAATAGTTAATGTTTGTACAACAATAGCAGTGGTAGATGTCACTTCTGTGGAAACCCTTTTTGAGGATATGAATAGATTTTCATCTGATTGAAGTTACTTAGAACAGTTAGAAGACAAATGAAGGGACAAGGAGGACTTTGAAGAAGCCTTCCTGTTGACCTCATGTCTACAGGCCGCCCGACCTTCTGGGGTTTTGTTTTTCTGTTCACTTGAACCCTCTTTAGGAAAAGGAAAGAGTGGATTAAAATGAGGCCTGTGGACCCACCTCCATACTGGTATGGTCCTTTGCAGTCAGAGACAGCTTATTTAGTCTTTGGAAAATATAAAGCTATAGGAGGTCTACACACATCCAGGCCTCAAGGTCTTGGCCCTGGACGTTATTTTTGGCTGTGGACTTTTGTGTCCTTTCTGTCCTCTGACTGCATCCACCTGCCCATGCAGGCTTTGAGTTATAGATCAGAATGTTTTTTTTCTTAGGAGTTTAAAGTGGATAGCTGAAAATACCCATCCCTCAAGCTGCACTCTCCATTATTTTGAATTGGTTTTCACTGCTATTTTCAGTTCCCACTCATTGTTTTCACAGACAACCCATGGAATGATTGAACTCTGCCTCCCAAGCTTGTGGCAGGTCTGTAGGCATAGAACAGTGTGGGTTCTTAAGAGAGGGACTTACACTCAGTTATTGGCTGACTTGGGGGAAGTCCTGTGTCCCACACCTAAGGCAGTTCTCTGACCCCTCCACAACAGGGTTCTGTGCCTTGAGCCCTACCTGCTGTAACCTCAGGACCCAGCAGAGCAGGATGGGACTTTGTAACCAGCCCTGTCCTCCTTGCCCCACTCAGCCGGACAGCATCAGAACAGCCCCTTCCCTCTGCCAGCTGCTCCCCTCCCCTCCCTTCCCTTCTTTCCTCCCCTCCCCTCCCCTTTATACCTCCTGAACCCCCCTTTGTCTCATTATCCCCCAAACCGGTGCTGATGAAGGTGAGTGGAGCCTTCCTTAGTCTCC